AAATTGAAAATGCCTATGCAAAATTGTGCAAAATATGTGAAAAATTATGACATAAAAAAAGTACGAAAATTTTGGTGCGGGGGGGGTGCAACTTAATCGGGCCTTACTTTTGATCCTAGTTAATAGACCTAATAAGTTGCGGTCCCGAAGCACGTCTTCTTGACATAAGATTTGCTTCGTTTAATCTTCTTCTTGTCTGTTCATTTACATACAAGGTGACAATTTGAAAACGAACAGTATTTAATATTACCTCTACCGATGATAGTATGAAAATTTGGAGAAATACGTCAATTTACATATGAAGGGGGACAATTTTTGAGGCATATGTTGTGTTATTTTCAACCCTTTGACCCCCAGGGCACCTACCACTCAAAAATTTGAATGGCAACCCCTATTTCTTTTACCATTTTTGTGTTCCTTATAAAATTCTCAAAAAAATAATGCAGTTTATGTAGAATTCTATAAGAAACACAAAAATGGTAAAAGAAATAGGGGTTGCTATTTAAAATTTTAGGGGTAGGTGCCCTGGGGGTCAAGGGGTTGAAAGTAACACGACAACAAAGGCCTCAAAAATTGTCCCTCTTGATATGTAAATTGACGTGTTTCGCCAAATTTTCATACTATCATCGGTAGAGGCAATATTAAATACTGTTCGTTTTCAAAATTGTCACCCTGTATACGGCCCTTAGGTGTAATTCGTTACAAAGTTGAACAGCTGACAAACGGCGGTTTCTTAGCGATAAACTTACAATAAACCAATCGTCTTTATTCGAAGTTCTCATACGAAGGTGCCTGGACGTCTAGCATATGAACTTGTCTCGAGGAAGCGACTGCATTGTACTTGGTGCACACCTAATTCTATTAGCGACATAATATTGATCTCTATCATCTTCAATTAAAGCAATTATAGCGATACAATTTCTGGACGTAAGACTATCTCTGCTAGAGTAGCTAAAATTTTTCGATAACAGCGACATTACATTAATCATAAACACTATTTCAAAAGTCTGTTGACTGTGAACTGTGACCAAAAGCAAACATGGTGTTAATATAAAAATTACGAAAAAGCATTTTTCTCAAAATGTCAGTAATAAAGAAGTTTTTCCTCTTGTAAAGACAATCCGGGGACATACTGTGTATACTAATAATAAGTTAATATATCTAAAAAGTGTAGATTCAATTAAATAATATGGGTGTAATACCTGTGTTCTCCCATGTTCAAGACATCTTAATATGATTATTATTGAAAGCAATTTGGTATTAAAAATGTAGAGCACTTTCAACAACAATACCGTATTAAATAAAAAAATTAAATTTGTTTTAATTTGCCTTAAAAAGGATATACTGCAAATTGGTACCAGTGAGAATCCTGTTCAAACGGGATCAGTTTGGAGGGGTCTAGTCGATGATGGAAACAAATCTAGTAGCCACAGTTCCAACTGCTACTTTGTCGTTGTTTTACATTATATTATGTATAGGTATTGTTTGAACAATATTGTTAGAAGCTAATTGTTACTCATGAATGCCAATTTTATTTAGTATATGAAGGCTTCAACAGACTCTCAATTATTGATTGACTATTGAGATGTCTGCACTTAAAAGGCCTTCTGTTCGACAATTTATGTATTTATTTATTTGCTTTTTTTTTGGTAACACATATGTATTGTATTAATATTTTGTTACTATAAACTAATATTATTAGTAGTACTACTTATTGAATAAACTCTAGTTAAAGAATTTTACCCATCAGTTTCAGCTTATTCAACCATTTCCAATTATGGTGTAGCCTCCCTCACATATTTAGAAACTCTGTTTGTAGTTGAGCCCAATGTTGTCTATTACTGGCTATGCAGACCCAAATTATCCGTGCTAATTTCCTAATATCAAGGTCCCATCTCAAGTTCGGTCTTCTTCTAAGTCTTTGAATTCCTAGTTGGTACTATGTTGTAATAATTTCTGTAGTCTATCTGTTGTCCGTCCTTCTTGTCAGGTGTCCTGCTCATTGCTACTTAAGAGATTTGAGTCTGTGGATGACATCTATTACTATTACCTGGGTCTTTTGTCGTATCCACTCTATTCTTTTGCGGTCTCTATATTAGCTATTCCTATAATATGGCATATTTCGTTTCATTGAGCGTTGTGCGACCTGCAGTTTCCTTATGACATCCCTTTTAAGTGTCCAAGTTTCGTATACATAGGTCATGACAGGTAGTATGCATTGGTCGAATATTTTGTTCTTTAGATAAAGTGGCATTTAAAAAAAAATCGCAATTTATTAATGAAATAAACAGTGGCGGCTTGTGGGTAAAAAATTAGGTGAAGAGTTAATTTTTTTAAATTGTGCCGCATTTTTTTAAATTGTGCAACATTTTTTAAAATGTTATTTGAAAAATTTTTGCTGCATTCACCATTTTGTCAACTTTTTTTTTGTTATTATTTATACACTAATATCTATCATATTTTCGTTTTAGTTTGGGCTAAAACGCATTAAGTAAAAAGAGATACAACCAGTTTTCGATCAACACATTATTTTGCATTCCAGTGAAAATGTAATTAAATTTAAATTAAATATAATAAACATTATATACAGTGTCCACCATAAAGTTGGATTCATATATGGACGTTTTTTTTATATTATTATAGTTTTAAAAAATCTTTTTGTGGCAATCATTTCTGCTTTGAAAACAACTTAAAATGCACCAAGCTAAAGTTGACAGCTAACATCTGGGAGCTGTCAAATACAAAATATTTAAAGTAAAATTTTTAAAAAATGGTTAAATTATTATTATTTTAAAAAAAGTGACTAACAAAATTATGTTTCAACTTTGACTTGGTGCATTTTAAGTTGTTTTTAAAGCAGAATTGATAGCCACAAAAAGTTTTTTTTAAAACTCTAATACAAAAAAAAAACGTCCATATGGATCCAACTTTATGGCGAACACTGTAATTATTGAATGGCTTCCCCGAAAAATATTTTGTAACCGACATTTTTCTCAAAATAGAGATTTCAGTGAAATAAGGTTGTAATTTTCATAGGTATAGCGTTTTTCACTGAAATTTCGATATTGAAAATAATTTTTGTACCTAAATCAGCTCAATTTTTCTGTTCTTTCATTTAATTAATTAATTATATTCACATTAAAGCCTATTTAAACGAATATTTTCATTAAAATTAAGCTTATAGAGTCTAACCAAAGATATTTAAAACAACCTAACCGAGTTTAAATCTTTTATCTTTGAGTCTAACGTTTTTTTTTCTAAAGCATCGGCTATTGTATTTTATTTTTTTTTAATTTTTTAGCATTAACTGATATTTTAAATGTTCTGCAGAATCCCCGTGTTTATGCAAAGATCTTAGTACGAGAGCTAGCAACGTCGGAAAAACAAGTATTTTAGGACGTCTGGCTCTTTGATATATCTTTTACTATGCTCTCTAGAACAGCATGCGGCCCGTCTGGGTGCTGGTAAACGTTGCGTTCCCTACTGCGCATTGAAAGAAGATCCTATATTTTTATTAGTCCTTTAAATTCTAGTATTGAATATAAATCGAACATGTCTCCATAGCGCAGTGCGTAGAGTATCTGACCACGAACCGATGATTCAGAGTTCGAATCCGGGTCAGGAGAAAGACTTTTTTATTTTATTTTCGTTTATATTCTAATAGTAAAGTATTAAATATTTGGTTTTTTTTAATTACCAGAATTATTTAATACTTTACTATCAGAATATAAACGAAAATAAAATAAAAAAGTTTTTGACCTGACCCGGATTCGAACCCTGAATCATCGGTTCGTGGTCGGAAACTCTACGCCACTACGCTATTATATATATACGTCAATTTCACGCATGATTCTCAACTGTCATCAGATTTATACTACAGCGTCGTGGAGTGACGGGACGACAGATAAAATTGACAGAACGACGTTAAATACATTATACACCTTAAGGTGAGTTTATATGCATCATTTATATTCACCTTAAGACTCTTAAGAGCGCTTGCACATACACTGGCAAAATATGTGCCGGTGCCGGAGTCGATTGCAATATAAATAAATTGGCTCCTTCACATATACTCCGATCCGAAAAATTAGTCTGTCTGGCAGTATAGGCTGAACTAAAGATAAAACCAACTTACTAAAAGCCATTTGCGTCATCACCGCAAGACAGCGCGGAAAGTTCTATCAACTTCAACCGGTTTATATCTACCGGAACCGGAGTGAGATAGATATAATGACGGTCTCTTTCGCCTATGACGCTCCTGGCTTTTAGTCAGTTGGTTTTATCTTTACTATAGAATTAAATACAACTGTAGGAAGGTGTGAAAAAAATGAAAAAACCGGCGCCGATTTTGCCGGTGTGTGTGCAACTGTCATGTGTCGTCCGTTGTCGTTTTTAAGCAATTCCATTGGTTTATTTTAAAAATGACAGGTCGTATTTCATCGTGGTTGGAGAAGCCGACCGACGCGATGGCGAAGCGTCGGACGACGACGCTTACGGATGCATATAAACTCATACTTAATTATGGAGTGACGGAACGACGGATACACATGACAGATGCATTTATCATGCATCTGTCATGAGTTTATAGGTACTCAAAGGGTACTCACCTTAATAAAAAATTACCTACACCTTTTTTAACTGTCAAAATCAAAGCCAACTTCAAAAATATTCCGAGTGTTTTGCACATATGATAAAACTAAATTAAATATACATATCGACGGTCACAGTGCAGTACTTCGTATCATTTTTGATACGATTTTCCAGGAAATCCAGAAAACACCTAATTTTTCGTTAAAATATTACTTTTTCCCAAATGAATTATTATCTTCTATTAGCTGAAATATCAATACTATATTGCCAAATAAAATATTTTGAATTATTTTTGTGAAAATATTGCAAAAAATAAACAATATAATTTTATTAAAAAAAATCATACTCCTGCATCTCCCGCACTGTGACCCTCGATATATGTATATATGTATTAAAAAAAATACTAGTGCTCGGTAGTAAAAATGGCTTATTTTATTTTCACAATTTGTATATAACATGTAATGAGCATGTATTCACATTTCACAGTCCTATATATTGTACAAAAAATAAATTAAAAAATTATAATAAAAATAATAAATTATTAACTCAGGAGTATAATCAAGTTTTTGACGTTTTTTAATAAAGTCTTTGGTAAAATAAAAAAATTAAAGATCAGCTTCTTTTGTACTAAACTAAGTACCACATCACATAAATAATATGCACTTACCAAAACTATAAAATATTATAAAAATGAATTATTTTACAGAGGTTTAAGTTTTTAAGTCACCAGCCATTTTTGGAATGCAACTGTTCATTCATTTTTTTTTAATATACAGGGTGAGTAATGATTGACTAAAGTGGATTATCATTAATAGCACTGACATCTGACATATACAAACACAATTATCAGATGATTCTTCAATTGCAACACTTAATTTAAATACAGGATTTTTGTTCAACCCGTTTATTAATAAATTTCAGTTAAAGTTTTTTGGCCATGTTTTCGGTTAAACAATAGTCAAACATTTCTTATTTCATTAATATAATTCAACATACATATTTTGTAAAATATAGAGGGTCTCGCAACAATGCGTCGGAGTTCTATAGCTTTTATAATAAAAAAAACTTACAGATTTCGCCTAAGTGCAGACCCAAAATAGAATGTAGAATGAGTCAGAGGGATGGGGGGTTAATCACTGCGACCTGAAAGATATATTGTGCCCCCCTTCCTTGAGTTATAACTCATCACACAGTCTATAACCCATCACATGTATTTTCCTGTTGTAGGTGAGACAGGGTATTTCCCATCCTCTTCTAACAGCTGTTTTTTCTCCAAGGGTATACACTCTTCCACGACTGGAATTGGCCCTCCGCAATGAACGCCTCGACTGTGAAGGGCTTCACAGTCGAGGAGCTTGCCTCCGGCTGAGGTACCAGTGAAGGAGCTGGAGAATCTGTCTCCATTTTCTCCACCTCTTTAACTTGGTCTCTCCTTAGACCTGATACCAGTGTTGTCCCGAATCTATAATAGAGGATATATCCCTCTTTCTCTGTTGCCTCCTTGGATTTGAGGTCAATTCCTATTGGGCCATGACCCTCCTCCCTCGAGTTGATGACTCGCCAACTCGATGTCCATTGGAGTTCTGAGCATAGATAAGACTCAGGTACTAGTACGTATTTCAGGAAAATATATTCAATGTACAGGCTATCTCAAAAATAAGTGAGTGGTGTTATGGGTTATTATTAGATCTGCAATTAAATTAATTTTCTACATGTTATTATGTTATCAGTAAATATGATGTAGTGTATTTACTAAAAGTGGGTTCCAGGTGGAACCCTCCAATGCCGCTGCATGGGCCTATTCGAACTATGATATAGTGTTTACAATGAAGTATGTCAATACTAATCAAATGCAGGGTTTTAAAAAAATAAAACCATTATATTTTTTTCATACTAGGCAGCTGACTTTAAATAGGAGTATTTATAACAACTTTTTTGAATACCTTTTTAGGCAATTTGAGAAATTCTACCACTTTATTCTTGAGCAAATATATTCGAAATGAAATACTTGAATATTGACTAGAACATTTCGACCAGGATTGCAGAGATTTCTATAAAAAAAAACACTGTATATACCAGTTCATAAATCAAGAAATGTTTAAAAACTGTAATCTATTAGTTATAACTAGGGTTTCCAATTTTCAGGGATCTCGTTTTGAAATCCCGGGATTAGAACTTATAATTCTGGGATTCCGGGATTGACTATTAGAATGAGAAATTTAATATAAAGAAATACTTAAATAATAATGCAGCTACATAATATATGAAAAAGAAAATGAGCAAAGAGCTTTACTAAAATAGACAAATACTTTGTTTTCCGCATACATTCATATTTAGTGATTAAAAAAATCAATTCTTGTTGAAAAAAAAATATAGCAAATAGGAAAATGTAACTTTTAGATATTGACGTTCTGCTTAGTATAAATAAAATATAATCTTTGAAAGACTAAAGTGTATAAAGTCGAATAATTTTAAATTGGACATTTAAATTTTTCCAGGAGATTTAATATCGGGATTTTGGGATTAAACAACAATTTTGGGATTTTGGAAAACCTAGTTATAACGATCTGAATAAAAATAAATCACTTTTAAGTTGAATCCAGAAGTATATCAAACAATTATCAAATAATCTCAAAAATAAATTTACACAGTTCTTTTGTCATAATTTTCTGGAAAGCCCTGTACATTTCAAATTATATGTGTTTTAACCAGATTTCAATTTAATCTACTTTATATCATCATTACTTTACCCTGCATATAGAAGTTTTATCACAAATACGAGCTTTTGAAGCATAAACAATAAAAAGGAAAATTAACAGCTACTATTGTTACCTACTAGTGCTATTCTGGAAGTACACTCTGCATAAAATATTACAGATTAGTTAAATTATAGTTATCTAGTGAGAAAAAAACAGATAAATAAATATGCTGCCTAATTGCACTAGCAAAAAATATTTTTTTCTTAATCAGGTGTTGCTTAAGAACTAAATAAATAATGTTACTTCATAATATCACTAATAAAAATAAATCTATGATAAGCCTCACATTACATATTCCCTCAATATTACAATCAGTTTTAGTTTCTATACCTGTAAAGGTAGAGAACAAAAATACATAATCCCGAATTCGGAAACATTTCTTAATTGTTGCATTTTTTAGTCGGGTAATTCTAAAAAAGCAATAAGAAAAGTTGAACCTTTGTAAAAAAGGGCCAGCAGCTGAAATTTAACCCACATCAATAAACTAAATCTTATTCAGATATAGTTAGTTCTTTTTCAGATTCACCTTCGTTAAGTAATTGTTGGAGTAGTTCGTGTAGAGGTTCGAAGGCCTTCTTGCTTCCGGCGTTAGTGAGGAGCAGATAATCATGCATGTCATGGTGACTTATAGTCCCTACAGATCATAAAAAAGAGATTAATAACTTTTAATGTAAATTGTTTATATCTCAAGTATGAAATTAAAACCTTCCTTGTCTTAGAACAATTGTCCTTTCAGGAAAGTTTTCCCGCACAATAAATGTCTGTTCAAATTCAAATATAACTTGTTATTAGATTGTTATGTTATGACACTTTAAGCTGATACAGATACAACTGTTATAATAAGCCTGTCTGGATTATAAATATCTAGGACATATATTTTTATCACACTATAATTCTGTATTTTTGATTATATTATAATTATTCATATGTTTTTGAGAATATAGTCTTTATAACCTTAAAAGTAATTAGAATCATTGTAATAAGAACATGATTTAGCTAAAAGGGGATATTGCAATTAAATATATGTACCTATATCTTAACTCTACACTCTACATATACATGATGTCAAAAATAGTGTATCTGACTGTGGTGAGTGATTCTACACATAAAAATAAATCAAAAAGTTCCTATGAACATATGCCCTAAAATGCTTCCCGAAGAATAAAAGTAAGAAACAACCAGTTCTATTTTGTTTATTTTTAGAACATCGATAAACCGTTTTTCCTGAAATTTGCTACTCTTACACACATTTTAATGCCAAAGCAAATGGCAATTGTGTAAAATTCTGTAACAGCCCTGAAACAGTACTTTCCATTAGGGTGGAGGTGGTACTTCTTTTATCCTTATAGATACAGTAATTTCAATAAATGAAAATTAAAGCTAGGACTTTTTTATGTAAAAAAGGTGCTCTTTGGTTAATTCAAAACGGTGATTGGTTTTCAAGATATTTGCGTTTAAAGGTTCCGATGCATCGATTTTAGTATTAGTGAATGGTAAAATGTAAAGACATTTTAAATGAATTAATCTCCTGATTTCTCTAATGCTAAAATTGATGCATTGGAACCTTTATTAATAATAATAATATAAATAATTAATTTATTAATTACATTATTTTTAGTTAATTGTAGTTACTTTTATACCTACATCAGAACGTAGTGGTAGGTGGATCTCTATATGAACTATTTTTATATTATATGGAAATATAATTTTAGAGAAATTTGATACCTATATTTGCAAATTCTAATAATTTATCTACAATTATTTACTTCTTACCATCTGGTTGAACAAATCCTTTATCAATAACAACCAGTTCTATTTTTGGTAATTGCTCTAAACTGGTTTTAAGAAGTTCATTTACTTGCTGAAGCTTTTCTCTTAATGGATTTGGATTTTGTCCTCTCGGTAAAAGAGTCTAAAAATACATATCTCAATATATATCTAAATTTTGTTTACACTTTAACAACTTACAGGGACAACAATATACACATCAGGATGTTTTTCTCTTATTAAATGGACTATTTCTAGAATTCCATCCCTAATTTCTTCAGGGGTATTATTATAGTTATTAGTCCCAGTATGAACAACTATTACCTAAAAAAGTTATGTTAGTAAATTAAAAATCCAGGAGAATTTTATTTCCAAGTTGCCATAAGCAGGAAAATTACCTTTGGTTTAATGTTATCTAATTCTCCATTCTGTACCCTCCACAAAACATTTTCCACCCTATCACGATGTATTCCAAAATTTAAACAATGCAAAGGAACAAACAATTCACTCCAGACATCAGTATGTTGCAAAGCTTGTATTATAGAGTCTCCAATAAAAATTACTTCTGCATCTTTTTCCCTAGTTTCCGATAAAAACCTATTGTGCTGCATATAAATAAAGACCAGAATTAATGAAAAGCTAACCCAACTTCAATATAAATTTTAGTTTAAAAGAAACTTACGATACTTAACCAGCGGTTATCACCATCTCCGTCTTCGACTGGTATTGGAACTTTACATATGTTCATATTTAATTATAGAAAAAATTAAGAAATTAAGAAACTTAATTAAAAATTGTTTTTTCTCAAATATTTTAACGTACAGAAGTTAGCATAGCATATTGCTGTCAAATGTCAGAAAAAATGGCCTTTAAGCACTAAATTGAGCTGCTACTGACTCATCAAAAAAGAAAAGGAAGAAATCTAGCGATAAGTTCAGGATTATTTTACGTCAGAGGTCAGAGCCGTATTAAAGAATATTTTAATACTCGAATAATTCGAATAATAATTATAATATTCTTTGGCCGTGCCGTATCTAGATTGTAGATTTTCATGGGTGAACATTATGATAAAAACACTAAATCACCACAATACACCAAAACACTTTTACTTTTACACTGGACGCGCGTTTCGCTATTTTGATTTTGGTGTGTGGAAAAGAAAACTTTTTCAATACGTAACAGAAAAGAGAACAGAGGATTGGGATCAGATCAGATAATCAAAAAGAGGACTGTCCTGTGGGATAGAGGACGGTTGACAACCCTACGCTCACCCTATGTCCAGTGTGAACACCATGAACGATGCATGCGATGCAATTAAAATGCCAATTTTTATTTAATTCTGCATTTTTTATATTAACTCTCTGGCACGGCACTGTTTGAATACAAATGGTAACAATTTGGCCAATGGATTTAACTAATTAATAATAATAATCCGTAAATCTACTGATTAATCAGTCAGTAGTTCTGGCAACACTGTCTCGGTCCACCACTCTGTCGACTGAAAGGAGAACTACGATCTGTTACGGTACAGTATCTTTTATCAGTTGCGCCATAAACGAATATCAGCGCGCAGCGGCGCACAGCTAAACTAAATCTCGGACAGGCTGACGGTAACGCCAACTACATCTCGGACAGGTTTTGTGCCGTAAAATCGTCCATAAGGTTACGCATCTTCTTATTTCTTCAATCAACGATCATACTGTATACAGGGTGCTACGAAGTCGAGGTACGAACATTGGTATCTTGGTAACCGTAATAGATACGAACATAGTTAAATTGGGGCAAAGTTGCGCTTTCGGGTTGTTCACCAAGATGCCACCAAAAAAAAATTAAAAATTTTAAGGATTGCTGAGTTTTTTGGAAAAAACGGAATTTTTTGAAAATTAATTTTATTTTTTCCTGTCGTTACTTTTAAGAAAATCAAAAAACTAATTATTGCACATTCTCATAGCCACTTTATTAGAGCTGTCTGATTATTTTTAAATTTTCAAATTAGCTGATAATTTGTGAGATACAGAGGCCAACTTATTTTTTTAAATACGGACCTGCATTTTTTATTTCCGGATTTGAAAGAACTCGGTCTCCTGAATACAATAATATGCCACACTTTATACTTTTTTTGTTTTGGGTACCTTAATAACAACAAATCTATAAATTTATTATTTAAAATAATTTCAAGTCCGACTCTGGTTTTTCAAATTATTTAATCTGATTATATCCTTCAAGGATTATATTCATCCCAACAATATTGATCAGAGCTAATTAACATTGAATAAGGAAAATCGAGCCAATTGGAAGATTCAAATAAATTATATCCAGTTCAGCAATTTAAAGATATTATTTTTAACTTTTTTTATTGTGACTTTGAAATCTCAGTGTGCGATCTAATAATATTCGTAATATTAATCGTAGTTATTATAAATAAATCAACTTCTACAAACTAGTTTCTAATGCTCTACATGTTAGAAAGGGTTACCACCCTGCCTATTGCACAAATTTATTTTTCGTTCAATTTTATTTATAGCTCTTTGAACTTTCTTCTTATATGTGTATGTCCGAATGCATTTTGTACTCTTTATTGTAAATGTTGAGATGTATTGATTTCACTTTTACAAATGACGTGAAGTAATGTATTCGTTTGTATATTATTTTTTATTATTTTATTGCGTTTGATTTTCCATATTCAATGTTTTACCCCACATCATTGTTAAGTTTAAAAGCTTATCAATATTGTAATAATGAATATATTAAATATTTAAAAAAAAAACAGAGCCGGACTTGAAATTAGTTTAAATAAATTGTGTTCAAATGGCCCAAACAAAAAAAAAATAATTGTGGCATATTTCAGGAGACCGAGTTCGGTATACCCCGAGTTCTTTCAAAATCTGAAATAAAAAATGCAGGTCCGTATTTAAAAAAACTAAGTTGGCCTCTGTATCTCACAAATTATCAGCTAATTTGAAAATCTAAAAATACTATCAGATAGCCCATATAAAGTGGCTATGAGAATGTGCAATTAGTTTTTTGATTTTCTTAAAACTAACGACAGCACTGATATCAGCACCCTGTATAAGCCATAACACCAGATAAGAAATTAGAGGAAGTTTTTGAGTATAATCATTGTTGGAATAAAAATTATATAAATGAAAGAATAATAAAGTTTAAATTAGATTTTATTCTCGAGAAAAGGCATTAAATGTGGTTGTTCACGTGCACATGTGCATTTACTGAGCATCCATTTTATTACATGATTCATATTATGATAAATTATTGATAAAGTTAGAGTGAATTAAAAGTCAATTTCGATATTCACAAAATTTATTTTTTTAAATTTCTAATATTTAAAAAAATAGGCATATGCTTAGAAAATAAAGTTAATATATATTGATAAATCACATAGGTAAACAAAATTAATATTATACATTTTCAATCACTATAAATATTAATCTTAATCTTTTACAATAATACAATAATTATAAATCACATTAAATTTTGTCGAATTAATCATACTTGCCCTCCAAAAACATATACAATACACAAAATTATTTTACATTTCTTGTTAAATAATTTTGGCAGAGAACAGTAATTAAGGCTTCATATTGTCTTTGGGATATTAAGTATTTATATTTCTATGAAAAATGTCTAAAAACTATTATTTTATCTACATAAATAAAAATAAATTAACCCAAATTAATTTAAAAGTTTGTTTATGGTATTAATACTTTTTGACATTTTATGTATTTTATATAAAATTGTGATGAGGAATAATGTTAATATTTTACTTTTTTTACGTAAAATACAATCATTTCTATTCAACATAATAAGAGCTAATTCTTTCATTGCTAATACATTTTATTACATATAAATAAGTTCATGCTAATTTCAAAAATATTTAAAAAATATACAAGATACTAGTAGATAAGATAATAAATACAATTAAAGTAATTTCAATGTAATAATTTTAATTTGCGGCTCGACTACAATTTTAGCCCAATACAAAACAAATAAATAACTAGCTAACCACTAAAATAGTATCAAACAATAAATAAAAGTTCACAACTTAATTGTAAGTAGAAAAATAAAAAAACACAGACTTGTAAACTTAAAAAATTAAATGTCGTACCAGTCGAATTATTAATAAAAATACTGCATACAGTGTTGTGACATCGTGTAGACGCAGAACGTTTTGGAAGACTTTTGAACCTGATTATTAGAAATGAAATGGCTTTAAGCCACTACCAGGCTGTCGAAGCTTCGTTCTGATGTCAGTCTTGGTCTCTGAGATGATTGAGTGACGCAATATCTTTTCGGTGGTAGTTCGCGACATAACCTTAGCCAAAAAGATTCGTCGCTAGATCTCTGCCATTGGATGACGTTCATAGACCTTGCCAGAGAAGCGAGAGTCTCTCCCACGGAGTTCTTGGATTCGTTTTGACTAAATGGAAGTTCTTTCAAAGCTACGCATATGAGTTTAGCTGCATCGAGAGTTTGTAGTTGTTTGAGGGCTTGGTACAGATTCGACGATATCCACGAATCGTTGACAGTGGCCGGTGAAATTAGCGTTATTACTCTGCGACATACGTGGATTTGACCAGATAATTCCGTGCTCCCTGAAATAAATAAATATGTTAACGTAAAATTATTTCAAAACAATACAAATGTACAAATGTAAGATTTGACAACAATATAGGATTTTTTTAAACTTTAAAAATTTTTAGATTGAAGCATACCACAACCGAGAAGTGTAAAAAGAAAAACTAAAGATTCTGTTTAGTTCATTCCACGTATGATCGAAAAAATGGCACTCGGTTGGCCTGGAAATGACGATCTATGATATTCAAAGTACAAGGTGAGTCCCAAAAGTGGCTCATCTCTATAACTTTTTTATTTTTTCAGATAAACCCACGGTTATTAAGGGTAAGAATTCGAACTAGGCGTCGTGTTGTGTTGACAATTTTAAATGTTAATAAAATTGCTAAAAAAATGTTGTAAAGGAGAGCGTAATTCAGGCGTTGTTGGTTGCAATAACATTCAAAACCGGTGATTAAAACTATGCTCGCTACCCCGTAGTTGAATTTATCTAAAAAGTTTTTTTAAGTGGAATAATAAAGTATAATACAAGTTAGACCTCCTGAAGATATCACAATATTTATTTTTTTATTTTTATTTTTAGAATTTTCACAAATTATACTTCCTAACACTTTTAGAATAACTAAATAATACATTTTTCGTATTCTCGCTATTTAAACCCGTGTTATGTGTAAGTACTACTACGATATTCTTTCCGATGGTGGCAGCACCGGTGGAGAATGTACTAAGCCTATTCGCCACTACCAACCAACCAACCCAGTAGCGAGATATTGATCGGAAGTGATCGAGGACTATAATTAATCGTTTATATACTTACAATTCGTTATATCAGCACTGAGTTCTCTGGTAGTACAGCGATATCCTCGACCTTCCAATGTGGGCACCAAAACGCCTAAAGCTAATTCGGAATCTTTGGGGGCGTAAGCAACCATCACGTCATGTGTTTTGCCATCGTTATCTTCAACTGTACTGAATCGGTCCTTCATATAGACTTGAAAAGCCAAGCCGTATTGGTTGATTAGGACAATGAATGTGGTGAGAATGAGAACGATGATGATGGAGCAGAGTACCATTTCCTTCAGCGGGAATGGATTGGGATTGATGTAATTTAGAACTCTGCCTGAAATTGAACAAGATAATTAAATAATTAGTATTATACAGGGTGGTTAGGTTAGGTTGTAAAAAGTTCGTATAAATGTATGTCCTAAAATGCTTAGTTTCGGAGATACAGGGTGTAGAAGTTTCATTTTTATTTCGATTTTTTTCAAATAATTTCTGAAATAAAATCATAATCGTGTTTCTGTGGTCGCAATATACTCGTAACATCATTAAAAATATTTGCACTTATTTAAGACTAGCCCTATATATCAGTATATAGAATATAATTAGGTATTCCTGATTGAAACTTTAAAAGTTGATAATTTGCTATAACGGTTTCTACCAAATCTCTAGAGTTACTAAAAGCATAATTTAGTAAGCAATTTATTTTCACAAACACTCACTCTTCTCATCTAGAACAACATCCCTGAAGATAGATGTGCCCGGCTTCTCAATCTGGCACCTGTACACACCATAGTCATCTTTTCGCACTTTAGGGATCACTAAGTACGTCCCGTACGTTTGTCCGTCCTCCCTGAAACAGAAAATGAAAATAAAAATTCACAATATAAACCAGCCTGGCCTTAAATTGTTGGTTTGTACAGGGTGTCCCATTTTCGTGTGTTTTATGGGGTTTCTCGTTTATGGGTAGTAATACAAATAGATGCGGTTTTCACATCACACTACTTTTTGAATTTGAAGGTGATACATACAGATTTGTTCTAGACTCATTGTTTTCTGAAATATAGGGCGAATTTGAAAATTTTGCATTTTCGATCCCCATTATCGCTGGCCATTATACTGTTCGACCATTTCCAATCCATCTTCCGGGGAAATTATTTGATTGTTTAAATTACATTATATTTATATTTTATTGCATTTGATTTTCCGTATTCAATGTTTTACCCCACGTCATTGTTAAGTTTGAAAGCTTATCAATATTGTAACATTGAATAAATTAAATATTTAAAAAAAACAGAGCCGGACTTGAAATTAGTTTAAATAAATTGTGTTCAAATTTCCGAAACAAAGAACTCGGACAAACAAAGAACGAAACAAACTGCTCAGGAAACCAAGTTCTTTTAAAACCGCAAATAAAAAATGCAGGTCAGTATTTAAAAAAAAATAAGTTGGCCTCTGTATCTCGCAAATTATCAGCTAATTTAAAAATATAAAAATTCTGTCAGATAGCCCTAACAAAGTGGCTATGAGAATGTGCAATTGGTTTTTTTTTATTTTCTCAAAAATAACGACAGGAAAAAATGAAATTAATTTTCAGAAAAAAAGACGTTTTTTCCAAAAAGTCAGCGATCCTTGAAATTTTTAAAACTTTTTTGATGGCATCTTTTTAACACCCTGTAGGTGCAGCAGCTGTAGTAGCTATTGCTATAAATCCGTTTTCGCCTATGTCGCCTTGATTATTTACACATAAAACTTTCTGCCTGCGAAGCATTTTTCCGAGACGTTCGTTTTAAAGCAGCGTATCTCCAATACAGAGATAATGTGATTAAAAAAATGCTCACAAAAGATGAGGCTACAATGTGATTTGATTTAACAATAGCTGCACAAGTGCTGCACCCTACAGGGTGATACAAAGTTCGGGCAAAAAACTTCGTCTTATTGCTGTGCCCTGTATATGCTCAAAATAAATTCGGAATAAAAATTTCTGACGTAGAATCCGTTAAGGAGTTAATTTACAATTAAAAAAAAATCATCAAAATCTAATGAGTGGTTCGCGAGAAATCCAACTTTGAAATTGGGAGTAGGTAGTCTATAGTGGCCGGTTTTTTTTGCCGATGAGTTTATTACGGTTACCGAGATGCCAATGCTTGTACCCCGAATTTGTAGCACCCTGTATTTAGCATACGTAGTCCTTTAAAAAACCTATTTACCACTTTGTAAGGGTACGTTTAAGTTGGAGCTGCGATAAACGATAAAAGCAGTGAATTAGCGCTGCTCTTATCGTTGCTCAACTGCTAACCGTGTCTCGACGCGTTGCTCCAATATAAACACCTACATATAAATTAATATAATAATATTCGTTTCTTCGCTACTACCGCTGCTCTTATCGTTTATCGCGGCTCCAACATAAACGCACCCTAAGACCCTAAGAGCACCCTATATTTGGTCAGTTCAAAATTTGCATGTGATTGAGGAAGTGTAGTACTTATTACTTATTTACAGTACGATTACAAACAAAGTGTAGTTAAGTTCTATAAGTAAGATTCACGGAGCTCAAAGTACGTACTCGTATATGCGCGTTCTCCCCGTAACAGAAAACGTGACTGAAAATACATAATAAACGAAGTTGGCGTATCGGCCGATCCGTCACGAGAGTCGAGCAGTACCGCGAGTGGCGATCCGGTCCGCCGCAAAAGTACCGGAAATAATGGCGGAGGGGTCGCCCGATCACGGGCGGCTTTGTCTCGCAGAGTCGCCCCGGATAATTAGCCGTAATTGGTGTCGAAGAGCGGTATACGCGCTCGCTCTTAAGCCGCGGCGGTACCGGGGAGAGAAAAAACGAGGGGCATACGACACCGGTCCGACCGGTGTGTGTATGTGTCTTTAAATGACAGTGGCAGTGGAAAAGGATCTTTTGTACAAAGCCAGTATATGATGCAGGATTTCCTTTGGAATTATTCAATCTGAACTAGTGATGGGAAAAATCGATTAATTTCAATAATCGAGTACTCGAGTTTCAAGCGATTGCAATAACCGAGTGATCGCTCGAGCGAAATATCGCTCGTATTTAGAAGTACGGGTTTTCGTCCGTCATTGTTAAGTACTCGTTAACGCCAAGCGTCAAGCAGTAAGTTACGTGCGCAGGACACATATCCTTTCGGTAATGAATAGCAAGTAGCAAGCGACGAGCGGTTCGCTTGATCGCTTGATTTAGTTTATTTCAATCATTGTCGATGTAGGTCGTAAAATGTTGTCCCTCGGATACGTAACGGATAGATATACCTATATACGGCGTCGTATAAATTTGCTACCTGCAATATATGTAGAAAATTCACTCGGCTTTTTATCGAGTATGTCACATTAAAATCGGATTTCAATTTATTTTATTCTAGGATCGCTTGCGTTCGTCGCTCGTTCATAATCGAGCGATGTTGGTTATTTCAATAATACTCGAAGCGAATTTTCGCTAGAGTTATCCCATCACTAATCTTAACCCTATAGAACAACTTTAAGAAACACCTCACTGTAGTATTGAGCAACAAAAAGGATTGGAAGAGAGAAACGTTTTCTCAGCATGTAAAAGACCAGACTATACCGTAGTATAATGATGCTTCCAAAACCATAGCAGAGCACCTACCCTAGCATCCTTCAGTCAGAAATCTACGTTTTCGAAAGACGCGTACAATTTATCTTAGATAGGAACTATCGAAAACGAAGAAATAGCCATCTTGTCCGATAGTCAAGTAGCACTAAAAGCGATCAATTTAGTAACCATCAGTTCGAAGTTGGTCAAAGAATGCCTAGAGAAGCTGGACAAATTAGGCAAAGAAAATAAAGTCCTCCTACTCTGGGTGCCCGCTCACTGAAAGGTACGCGCACACTGACCAGCGCCGCACTCGCCGCACGTGCTCACGATTCGCACTTTTTTTTCTTGTCGCGCACACTGAGCCGTACCGAACGCGCCGCACGCGCCGCATTATTCGGTATTTTGTTTCTTTTTGCCCCTACCACACCCGTATTTGCCAATCGAATTTCATCAGTCACTTCCAGAGTCCTGTCTGCGGTGATAAGCGTGTTTTTTTTAATATTTCTCGACAGTGAATGACAACGAACAAGAAATAATTATAAGCTTCTTGCTAACAGAAGAAGAAGAAATCACGAGAAAGAATCGAAAGTTATAGGTTCACAATATTTGCAAAAATCCACATTATTTCTATATTTAATTGAGGATGAACTAAAAATTTTTCAATATGAGCCATGAAAAATTTGCGAACTTCTTTAGCATATTGAATTTCTAAATCTCTTCTTCGGCTACCTTCGTAGAGTGGAAGGAAAGGACCAAGGCGACAAAAAGAAAACACGACTTTGAGACAAAAACAAGACAAACTTGTCACAAAAGATGGATACTTCTGAGAAGACAAACTTGAGACAAATTGTCCACACCGCAATGACAAAAATACAACAAAGTCAAAAGTTTAGTTGTTGCGAATGAGTTTTATTAACCGTGTGTGATTTCACTGGTCTCCTACTGTTGGCAGCACACGCCATCCACACTGCGCCGACAACTTGTCGCAAAATATACGAACAAAACATAGACACTTTGATCTTTACCGATGGATTGAAAAGTCTCCGAATTTTGAAACAAAACAAAAAGTAGTTTAGGACATTTATTTATAAAAACTTTTTTACTTATTTTTATCTGCAGAATATGCTGCCAAAGTTTCCGGAATACAGTTCGAACCACCCTGTATACAGGGTTGTATGTCCTGGAATGCGTAGTTTCGGAGATGCAGGTTTCATTTTTATTTCGATTTTTTTCAAATAATTTCTGAAGTCACGTCAATATTTGGATGAAAATTGGTGTCTGGGAGTTTTTTGACGTGAGAAATTTGATTTTGATTGGATTTGATGACACCTATATGTGTTTTAACTGTTTTGAAGAGTAATAACTTTTTGTCCGTACCTGTATAAAACTACTGAGTGAAAAAATATACATTTCTGTGACTTTCTACGTACTTAAAATGTCTCTTGGTAAAAATCGCTACGATCAACCGTTCTCATGATATTTAGAATGGAAATAGTCAATACATGTCATTATTCACAAAAAATAAACATGTTGAGTAGATAGTTATTTGACTGAAATTATAAATTTGGAAAATTTTTATTTATTTAAATTAATAATTAACTTTTCTGCGAAAAAATGATGATAAAGAACTTTTGGCTCAAAAATATCAAATTTATGGTTTCAGTCTAATAACTATTTAGTCAAAATGTTTGATTTATGTAGATGATGACAGGTATTTATAATTTCGATTCTAAATATCTGGCGAATCATTACTTGTAGCGATTTTTACCAAGAGGCTTTTTTACGTAAAAACCGTCGTAAATGTATATTTTTTTACTCAGTAGTTTTATACAGGTACGGACGAAAAGTTACTACTCTTCAAACCAATTAAAAATATGTAGGTGGCGCCCTCTACAAGTAGGAGTCATATTGACATCAAAATCAAATTTTTCATGTCAAAAAAAAACCAGACACCAATTTTTATTCGAATATTGACGTTACTTCATAAATTATTTGAAAAAAATCGAAATCAAAATTAAACTTCTACACCCTGTATCTCCGAAACAAAGCATTTTAGGACAAACATTTATATGAACTTTTTTACTTATTTTTATCTGCAGAATATGCTGCCTAAGTTTCCAGAATACAGTTCGGACCACCCTGTATATAGCTGCATTTTATTAAGTATTTCTTTAGATTAAATGTCTCATTAGATAGTCAGTCCCAGGATTCCGGGATTATAGGTTCTTATCCCGGGATTTCAAAACGGAATCCCGATCTCGAAAATGGAAAACCCTAATCAAGTTATATCAAGTGGACATTTGGTCTGTTGTAAAAAAGGGTTACTCATCGCTGATCTAGATGTCCATTTAAGCATACCACTTGACTAGTCATGTATTAACTACAATCCTCAAATATATATAATAAAAAACGCACATATGGTTTCGTGTTTTGTGCACTTCCGCAACCAGACGGTCGTACTTTGACGCCACTGGTCACCCGTGAGAACTGTCGCCGTTCTCATTGTCTCCGTTTTTGCTTTTTTTCTTCATTCCCGTTGTCTTTAATGTCGTCGAAGAAGACGATGTCGAAGACGGCAATTAGAGCTCAAGTGGAACGTCTGGTACTGTACGGGTCTCTCTCTCTCTCTCTCTCTCTCTCTCTCTCTCTCTCTCTCTCTCTCTCTCTCTCTTTTCAGTCCTTCAGTCCTTCATCCTATTGTTTATCGCTCCCTTTTAGTGTCCAAGTTTCAGAGCCATACATATCTATGAAGAAAATAATGGAGGTCGCAATGCACAGTTTAGTGTTTTGTGTAATTGCTATAGCTTTCCATATTTTAGTCAGCTTTGTTGTTGCATTTCTCCCCATTGCCACTCTGCGCCTGATTTCAGCATTGCATCCTCCAGAGTTTGTTATCATGAAACCTAAGTAATTGAACTGGCCACGGTTCGGACATCAGGCTGGTGTTGAAAAGGCGGTCCACGATGATCGTCTTGGGTTTTCGTTTGATTAGTTCCAAGTATATGGTTTGGAACTTCCAAACCATATTCTTCACTAATAGAGTACAGTGCAGCCATGACTTCCTGCAACTCTTCTTTGGTGGCGGCTAATCACGATATCATCACTTCAGTTTTTTTAGCAGATAAACGTCATACATAAACCGTTGACCATCTATTTTATATAGTCATTTTAACAGAACGTCAAAGGTTCATAATAGATGTATCTGCTAAAAAATGTATTTTTGAACCGTTGCACTTAGTTTTTTCTTTTTCTTTTGCTTTTGACGACGGGAGGAAATATACCTCTTGAAACGTTAAGCATTTTTTGTAAAATACCACTGACAAATTGGTCTTCGTTGGAACAACACAGTGGTGTTTACAAAAATTTACTTTTTCATTTTGCAGATTTTCTTCTAGTGGCGAAATTAGAGTCTATTTAATAATCAGAAATATTACATACCTATCTATGAAAATAAGTTCAATTAACTTTTTTTTCTTTTAAAACATACATGCAGGTAAAATATTAATGGAATCAACCTTATAGTTTTCTCCCATATCACGATTAAAATTATATTAGATAGACCCATGACTAGGAAGATTACTTTGTTTATCGGAATGGGCTTACATCATCTCTCAAACGTCCCATCAAATCAGGTAATTTTCTTGTGTGTATTATTCGGTCTTGATGAAATCCTTGCCTGTATCATTGCACAATTACATCATAATAAAGTGATCTTTTTCTAAATGCTTGTTAAATTAAATATGGAGTATAAATAATTTTTATTCTTTTTTAGAGGGTTAATTTTTGCAAATCTTGATATATCGCCACTAAAATTGAACACTTAAAATGTTAATGACTTTAAAGTGATTAAAATTTATTAATTTTTATTTAGTTCTATCAGAACGTATTTGTGTGTAAATAGACGATCTGTGTGTTTTAATCTAGTACGTTTGAAGCTTGACTTCAAAATATAAATCTTAGTTCAATAAATCACATTTCCCACGAACAAAATATGAACATCCTTCAAAGAGGACAATTTAAAATGACATCCTGCATTTTATTCATATTTATACCGGGTGCGTCTCAAAAGTTGCTCACTCCTATAACATTTTTTTCCGGTTTGGTTTGGTTTCACCGGAAATGACTGAAAACAACTGAATATATCCAATCAATCCTAATTTATATTATATACTAACATACCAAATCTCGTTACATCATATATTATTTTTGAAGTGGCATCGCAGAGGGGTTAATTAAAAAAAAATCAATATAACCCAATTTTTAACGTACGTACCAGCAATCAAACCGTTCTTTGAAATATGTGCTAAAGCAGTTCTTTTGTAGATTATTCAGTTAGCGGTCTAAATAAATAATTATTACGACATAAAAGCAACTTAAGTTCTAGTTTAGAATGTCAAAAATAATCTTCAATTTTCTTAATAAGTAGCTTATGAAATAATGATCTAATTCAGTTAACAAATCCTTACCTGATTACTTTCTTTTGATTAAATCTATCGGAAAGTTCAACAAGTGTGCCGTTTTCGAGTTTCTTATACCATATGGCTTCACTATTTTGATCTGGAAGATCTACCACACCTGAAAATTTAATAAAAATTTAGCAACTTAATGGTACCTTATATATTTAAGTTAGAGTATTTTTATTCTTTTTTGTTATCTTGTTATATTTTTTAATTCCTTTTCTATAATAATATAGAAAAAACGGTTATCTACTTAATGTCAAGCTATTCTAATTAACCGGAGCTTACTTAAAGGATGAATGTTTATAATTTTAGAATATATTTGAAGAAATGAAAAAACAGAAGTTTTTAAGCAAAATTGCATTTAAAGGAAGAATTTTTAAAATTAGTATTAGTTAATAGTTAAAACAAGTAATGTCATTTTTTTAACTAAAACTAACTTATCTAAAAGTTGTTTTAATAATGATTGGAGATTAAGTTCTAAATAGACTGCCATATTTAAAAAATCATATAAGTGTATTAAAAAAAATCTAAAAATATATAATAATTATATTCTTTGATATATTTGAATTTTTATAGGCATTGAAAGTTACGTCATTTTATTAATTAAAAATACTCTCTTTTGAATAGCTAGCTACTAAATTATATAATTAGAAAGTAGGGGATATTTTGGTTAGAATCAAACTCGGAACCAAATATCATCAAGAAATTCTAAGAAAGAGTTAAAAAATACTACTAACCAGCGAATGCTTCACAGAAGAGTCTCACGTTTTCTCCAACATAAGCCTGCTTGTTTTGTGAAACGTAGGTCATTTGAAGTTGGTCAGGGATTTGATCTGAAAAAAAATAATGGCATTAGTACTTCGGTTAGTCAATCAAAAAGGTTACTAATACATTTAATTTATATTATTTTACATTTTACATCATTGATAGACCAGGGTACAATATTATTCTAGAATAATATTTCAAATGTAAAATAACTTTACTAAAATTACTACTAACATAATCTGAAAGAATTAAATATAATGAAAAATTTTGATAACACATTCTACATTTAATTGAACTACAATGAACTGAACGTCTAAACATTCCTATTTCATTTCTATATTCCAATATTCGATATAAACCAATATATTTTATCGTTTGAATTATCTATTTTAAATTTGGGGTTTTGCATAGAAATTTTTAAATAGAATTTTTGTTGGACTGGTCACGTTACCAGAATATCTAAGAAGATTTTTAATAATCGCTGGACTTGCTAGACCGAAATGTAGAGTGGCGATCGTGTAGCCAGAAAATAAGCAGAAATATTAGAAGACTAGTAGTTAGTACTAGATTAGTCAAATATAAAAGGTATAATCAGCACCAGCTAGAGACGAAAAGTACCAAATTAATAAAACGGGAGCAGACTAAATCCAAATATGGATTGATTGCTAGCTACGATGATAATAACGACTTCGGTTTTTAGTAATAACTAGCGTGTACCCGCGACTTCGTTCGCGTCGAATTAATTATTTGTAATGGTGATGATAAAGCAAAACAAGAATTTTCATTAACATACAAACTGGATAAAATTTTCTCACATTTATGTCAGCATGAGAAAAAATAATATGGCGATAATATTATATAACTTGGTGTGTAATATTTGAGGGGTAGTTTCATCTCGTTGGAATTTGACTTTCGAAAAATCCTTTTGCCAAAAATAAGATTTTTACGTCAAGCAGTTTAAGCAGAATCGTGGTTAATCAATTACCCAACTTTTTGGAACACCCTGTATGATTTTTTAAAAAAAATTCAAAATATGTAAAAAAAAACAAAATAAATTATGCGTGTCCAAGCGTTTTCCCGAAAAACTAACCGTTTTTTTAATAACAAATATTGTAATATTTGAGGGACGTTTTCACCCTCTTGGAATTTGAGATTCGAGAAACCCCTCATTGTCGAACCTCTACACCCCAAAGTCAATACGTTTGCCAAAAATCAGCTTTAAACGTCAAGCAGTTTAAGCAGAATCGTGATTACTCAGTGGTCATATTTTATGACAACCTGTATTCAATTTTCTTAATAAGTAGCTTATGAAATAATGATCTAATTCAGTTAACAAATCCTTACCTGATTACTTTCTTTTGATTAAATCTATCGGAAAGTTCAACAAGTGTGCCGTTTTCGAGTTTCTTATACCATATGGCTTCACTATTTTGATCTGGAAGATCTACCACACCTGAAAATTTAATAAAAAATTAGCAACTTAATGGTACCTTATATATTTAAGTTAGAGTATATTTAAGTTAGAGTATTTTTATTCTTTTTTGTTACCTTGTTATATTTTTTAATTCCTTTTCTATAATAATATAGAAAAAACGGTTATCTACTTAATGTCAAGCTATTTTAATTAACCAGAGCTTACTTAAAGAATGAATGTTTATAATTTTAGAATATATTTGAAAAAATGAAAAAATAACAGAAGTTTTTAGGCAAAATTGCATTTAAAGGAAGAATTTTTAAAATTAGTACTTAATAGTTAAAACAAGTAATGTAATTCTTTTAACTAAAACTAACCTATCTAAAAGTTGTTTTAATAATGATTGGAGATTAAGTTCTAAATAGATTGCCATAATATTTAAAAAATCATATAAGTGTATTAAAAAATCTAAAAATATATAATAATTATATTCTTTGATATATTTGAATTTTTATTGGCATTGAAAGTTACGTCATTTTATTAATTAAAAATCCTCTTTTGAATAGCTAGCTACTAAATTATGTAATTAGAAAGTAGGGGATATTTTGGTTAGAACCAAACTCGGAACCAAATATCATCAAGAAATTCTGAAAGTTTCTGAGTTAAAAAATACTACTAACCAGCGAATGCTTCACAGAACAGTCTCACGTTTTCTCCAACATAAGCCTGCTTGTTTTGTGAAACGTAGGTCATTTGAAGTTGGTCAGGGATTTGATCTGAAAAAAAATAATGGCATTAGTACTTCGGTTAGTCAATCAAAAAGGTTACTGATACATTTAATTTATATTATTTTACATTCTACATCATTGATAGACCAGGGTACAATATTATTCTAGAATAATATTTCAAATGTAAAATAACTTTACTAAAATTACTACTAACATAATCTGAAAGAATTAAATATATTGCAAAATTTTCATAACGCATTCTACATTTAATTGAACTACAATGAACTGAACGTCTAAACATTCCTATTTCATTTCTATATTCCAATATTCGATATAAACCAATATATTTTATCGTTTGAATTATCTATTTTAAATTTGGGGTTTTGCATAGAAATTTTCAAATAGAATTTTTGTTGGACTGGCCACGTTACCAGAATATCTAAGAAGATTTTTAATAAAGGCTGGACTAGCCGAAATCTAGAGTGGCGATCGTGTAGCAAGAAGAGAAGCAGAAATATTAGAAGACTAGTAGTTAGTACTAGATTAGTCAAACATAAAAAATATAATCAGCACCAGCTAGAGACGAAAAGTACAAAATTAATAAAACGGGAGCAGACTAAATCCAAATATGGATTGATTGCTAGCTACGATGATAATAACGACTTAGGTTCTCAGTATTAACTAGCGTGTACCCGCGACTTCGTTCGCGTCGAATTAATTATTTGTAATGGTGATGATAAAGCAAAGCAAGAATTTCCATTAACATACAAACTGGATAAAATTTTCTCACATTTATGTCAACATGAGAAAAAATAATATGGCGATAATATTATATAACTTGGTGTGTAATATTTGAGGGGTAGTTTCATCTCGTTGGAATTTGACTTTCGAAAAATCCTTTTGCCAAAAAGATTTTTACGTCAAGCAGTTTAAGCAGAATCGTGGTTAATCAATTACCCAACTTTTTGGAACACCCTGTATGATTTTTTAAAAAAAATTCAAAATATGCAAAAAAAAACAAAATAAATTATGCGTGTCCAAGCGTTTTCCCGAAAAACTAACCGTTTTTTAATAACAAATATTGTAATATTTGAGGGGCGTTTTCACCCTCTTGGAATTTGAGATTCGAGAAACCCCTCCTTGTCGAACCTCTACACCCCACAGTCAATACGTTTGCCAAAAATCAGCTTTAAACGTCAAGCAGTTTAAGCAGAATCGTGATTACTCAGTGGTCATATTTTATGAAACAACCTGTATAAATTTTTAAAAAATCTTAAAATATGTAAAACAACACAATAAACTATACGTGTTTAAGAGTTTTTCTGAAAAACTCACCGGTTTTTAAATAAAAGTATTCTAATATTTGTCCAAAAATCAGCTTTTTACGTCAAGCGCTTTAAGAGGATCGTGATTAATCAATGAGCAGATTTTTCAAAACACCCTGTATACATTTTTAAAAAATCTTAAAATATGTAAAAAACAAAATAAAATACACGTGTTTAACCGTTTTTCGGAAACTTGACCGTTTTTTAAATAAAAAATATTGTAATATTTGGGGGGTGGCTTCACCCTCTTGGAACTAGAATTTCGAAAAATTCCTTCTTATCGAACCTCTACACCCTAGAATCAACCTGTATGCCAAAATTGAGCTTCTTACGTAGAGTGGTTTGAGCAGGATCGTGATTAATCAGTGAGTCACTTAAGGATTTTATATATTATAGATATACAAAATTACAGTAGAAGCTTGGAACCTTTGATGTTACAACAGCAAGAAAAAACACTAATTTATTCTACTTTACTTTTAACACTGGACACGCGTTTCGCTAACCATAACCATGTTCACATTATCAGCAGATGATTAAAACTAGTAGGTAGGTACTGGGTACTGATTAAACTTAATGTGTTTATTTCTTTAAAGTTTGGTGCCCTCTAGTGGACAAACGAAGCACTTTTGTATAGAGGGAAACTGTGTTCAAATGAACTTATTTTGATTCCAAAAATACGCAATAGTTCTATGTCCACGGAATATTGGGACATCCTGTAGGTGAGGGAGGCTACACCATAATTGAAAATGGTTGAATGAGCTGAAAATGATGATGATGATATAGAATAAAATAGTAATATTCGATTACTGAGTCTGTATAGAAAATTTTAGATATTTATTGTCCCTAATATCGACTGTAATCCACGAAGATACTGCGATACTTTTACGCGAAATCAAGAGCCCCAACTATTTCCCAATTTTTCTTATTATTAATTATTACCTCCTAATTTCTTTAAGCTGTGTGTGATTTTTCTTGCAAAAGAGAAATCGCTTGGTACCACTATTATTACGCTCACCGGTCGTGGGCTGAAAGGTCGATTTCCATAAAATCTATCTCAAATTTCGACTTAGGTGGACAAGACGGGGTACTGGTACGCCTTCGTACCGATCGGATTGATCCCATTAAAAAGCGGAGCCTACGGTTCCGCAGCCACGCTGTCTTTGCCCGCCAGAAAAATGACGGACTGGTGCACGCCGGGTGATTGTATGGTAATGAAATGGAGCGTGTCCCACGCGACGACGGCGAACGTACGAGAAAATATATGTCCACCTATGCGGACGAAAACGACGGAAATAGGTGGGCCGAACGTGTGACATATCGATATTTTTCGATAGTTTAGATCATGTACGAGGGTAGACTCAAAAGTTTCCGACATCGTCATGTTCAGGGTCCGGCAATAGTGCGTCTGGCATCTGTAGCTCCTAGAATAAAAAACTTGAGAATTTTGTTTAAGTATAAACCTAAAGTATGTATGAGGATGTATTTCCGGAAAATATTTTAACTTCTATAGGGTGGCTCAAAAAGTGTGAGTGGATCTGGATGATTTTTTTTTAATGGAACACCCTGTATATTATTGCATTTTTGGCTTCCTTTCACATCACTTTACATAATCCTAAGATACGAGTAAATCTATTTCGATAGTTTCAGAGATATTAAAAAATAAATCAAAAATATATTTTTTCAACACTTCTTAAAAAAAAATATTAAAAATACAAGAACTGTTCTGAAATCAAAACTATATTAGATATTTACTTTAGAGGGTCTGCTCTTACTTTGCTATAAATATGGTAATCGTAAATCATACAGGATGTTCAATATTTTACGCCAAACTTTCAAAAATATAAAATAATTTTTGTTCGTTTTTTTAAATGGAAGACCCTGTATATTCTTTTTTTATTTGATAGAGAATTAAAAAATGAACATTTTTTGTATTTAAAGTATTTCAACAATTTTAATAGTTTTCCGGATACACGCAGTATTATTTCATATGGCGCTTTCAATGGTAAAATACGAGAGAAAAATCACTGGGTGGCTTTGATAAAAATTTACTGTGGAAAATGCCGTATGAAATACAAAACCGGGAATATCTGCGAAATTGTTAAAAAATTTGAAATACTCTAAATGCAAAAAATGTTCATTTTTTAATTCTCCATCTATTGAAAAAATAATATACAGGGTGTTCCATTAAAAAAAAACAAAGAAAAATTATTTTATATTTTAGAAAGTTTGGCGTAGAATTTTGAACATCCTATATGATTTACGATTTCCATATTTATAGCAAAGTAAGTACAGACCATCTAAAGTAAATATATAATATAGTTTTGATTTCAGGACAGTTCTTGTATTATTAATAATTTTTTTAAGAAAGGCTAAAAAATATATAATTTTTATTTATTTATTAATATCTCTGAAATTATCGAAATATATTTACTCATGTCTTAGGATTATGTAAAGTGATCTAACAGGAAGCCAAAAATGCAATAATATACAGGGTGTTCCATTAAAAAAAAATCATGCCGATCCACTCTCACTTTCTTGAGCCACCCTATAGAAGTTAAAATATTTTCCTGAAATACATTCTAGTACATACTTTAGGTTTGCACTTAAACAAAATTTCCAAGTTTTTTGCAAGTATAAAATTTAATGCATGAATGATATTTTTACTTAAAATAAATAATATTTTTATTTAAATCATTTTAATGACTTACGTCATTTGATTTTAAGTCATATTATTTCGAAAGCTAACTTAAGACATAAAGTTAAGTCATTTTCAAAATGAATTCTGACTTGTCTTTATTCGGAAATTTAAAAAAAAAATCTATTACGCTGTACAGTGTATCCCATTTTGGTTGAAATCATAGGGTATCTCCCTTATTAGTGAAGATAGAAGGGTTCGGTTTGCACAAACCTGTCCCACTTTTTCGTCAAACGGAAGATGCTGCAAACAAAATTTTCATAGCCCTCTTAGTTTCTGAGCTGCAGGGTCTTTTCGAAAATTTTGCGAGAAGGCGAAAACTGCTTATTGTAGAACTTTTTACGTGGAATACAGTGGCGTAGTCTGTTTTTCTACCAAAAAAATATTTTTGAAAATATGAACTAAAGTTATGTTTTTTCAAATGAAACACCCTGTATATTTATAAATCATATGATCTGTCTTGCTATGAGCTTCTCAAAAATATATATCACTCTGTATTTATTTTTACTATTTACTGCAATATTTAAAATATATCATTTTCTTATTAGTAGGCCGTGATAAATAACAAAAAATCAAAATGGTATTTACTATCATACATATATTAAAATTAATTTGGGATTGATATATTTTACTTTTGAAATAGCTGTTACCACTGAAACTGTGAATATATTTTTCTTTTTTTTTATAACGGAATGGGTTTGCAGATATCTAAAAGCTTGAATTATTAAAGCATTTTTCAGGTGTTCGACATTGTTGTAGCTTGTAGTGCCCACGATATATTTCGTATTTCAAAAATCCCCAAAATCAGAAATCGAGAACGGCGAAATCCGGGAATCGAGGAGGCTGTCAATAGGTGTTCATTGGTTCCAATTCATTGATTTGAAAAATAATAATTTAACAGTATTCTAGTATTTTCATAGTTATGAGGGGGAATGTTCCCCATCTTGCTGAAAGTATATTTCACGTAAATTGGTCATATTTGGACATACTTGTTATTGTTACGTCTGTTTGATCAGGACAGCATTATT